AGCAATCTATCCTGAATTTCCAACCCAGTGTTTCTCTCATTAGGCAGTCTATCCTGTCGTTCTACTATCCTGAACAATATTTGGGCAGTGGAAAATAATACTGGAGATCTTTATAGTCAATAAGATTGCAACATAGTTATTTTGTCAACTGTTTTTGGTATTAGAAGGAAAAGGAAATGCAATGCATATTATTTTTTTCACAAGACCTCTGCTGAAAATCATTCAGTATTGAAAGCATAGCATGACCCTTATGTACAAACTGGGCCTTTTTTCTTGACTATATACCTCATCTAGATTAGAAGAACCATAGTTCACCAGACATGCATACATCTTCAATCTAGACAATTTTCCCTGCACTCTGACTGCCTTGTCCTTTCCAAAGACTGTTAAATGACTCAAAACTTTCAGAGGCGAAGGGAGGGGAAGGCTATGACCATTTCCTTCATATTTCCACACTCAATTTCCTTCATATTGCTGCTACGTCAATATACATGTGGTCTATGCACAAAATAAAAATGCTGCATAGGGTGAAAGATTCTGTTACCAGGAAATTTACCAGACATTGGTTAATTAAGATCTTTTTAAGCATGCGTCAGAATAATTTATTCAAAACAAACTGGCAGGAAGACATTTGCAAGATGTTAGTAGATGCATGAATTATTACATGGATCAATTTCTCCTGAAAAAGTCAAAATGCGAGTTGGGTTGTGGTATAGATACTGACCTACATGAAGTACGCAGCAGTAACATAGACTTGGGTAATGCAGACTTTGTTGTGGTTTAAATTACTGGAAGGAATAAACCACATTTGTTTGGTTATTTTGGTATTCTAGACTTCTATTCCTATTGAAAATAAGTAGTGGAGAAGCAAGATGTAGTTCAGCAGATGAACAATCAGTATGAATCTGTTCAATGTGGCTTCATGACACAGTTTTGGAGTTGAACTTGTGGTCAGCAGAGAGATGGCACTGTAAATGGCTTGTGGCAGTATGTAGTACACCTGGCGGACGTGCATCTGTTCAGTTTTCAGTTTAAAGGTGGTGTAGCACCTTATTGCTGCTGCTGTAATGAAATGCTGGGGAAATGCCTTGTTGAAGTGTAGCTTAACATTAATAAAAACAAAACAGTAATTACATGGCCTCACAAATGAAAAAGAAAACAAGAGGCTTATAACCATTTTGAAATACAGTTTGTCCTTGGCCACTATGACCTGTCATTCACTTAGGCTTTGATGAGTAAAATAATCTCTATGTTTACAAACTATTACAGACAGAATTAGAAGGAACAACTAAAAAGGAAAAGGGAAAAAGAAACAAAGAGGAAAACAAAGAGCAGCATCAAGACAAGGTTTATCTATTTTCCATCTCCATGTTTACCTGTTTGTAATGGCACAATTACACATATGAGCAAACAAGTACAAAGGAAGAAGAGTCATCACAAACAGTGAAATGCATTTCATGTCACTGCTCAGTCATGGTCTTTGTTGTTAACTGGAAAAATTCAGTCATCTTGATCCGCTAGCATTTTATTTCTATTGGAAAAAGTTAATAGAAACAAGCAGTACCTTTTTTCCCCTCCAACAATTCGTATTTGTATGAGAGGGACAAGGAGAAGGAGCAGTGGGTGCGCACATTGGTGTGTGCACGTGTGGGAGTAGAGAAAACAGCTTGCTGCTGCCCGAGGCAGTAACTCAGATGCACCCAAGAAGTGAGACATATGAAGGGACCACATCAGTCACAGTAGGAAGCCCATCAGGGAAACATGTCTTATATCCTCTCAACGGCATGCAATTATAGACTGAGAAGGTACGGGCAATCAGTTCAGAGTCCATATTCAGGCTGAGGATCAGGAGGAAGGTTTGGCTCTGGTCAGACTTTGGAAGAGCGATGAGCTGCTGTGATGTGCAGCTGCATCTGTGCTTCAGCATGGCGCAGAAATTCCGACTCCTGACACTAAGAATTAGCATCTACTTCCAGGGGTTCCAGCCACAACCTCCTAGTTGCCAGCAGGGTCCTAGTGACAAAATGTTTGTGCTGAGCATCTCTGAATGGTCAGATGCAACAGGCAGAAAGCCACAGCTACTATTTAAATGGCTGAAGACTGTCAGGTCCCCTGGCTGAATTGCAGAGATGATTCTCAGAAACCCTATTTCATCAATATTTGCTCTGTTTCATCTCTTTTTTTTTGGTTGGCTTTAATTTTTTTCATGTCTGTTTAATGTTTAACAGTGGAAATTAAGCAGAAGATAATGTAGCAATATAAATAACTGTGGAGAACAGCATGGTCAGCTGATTGCAGCAGGACTTCTGACTTTGTAAGTACTGCATGTGCATTTTTAGTAGGGACTTGCAAATGATGCTTTCTGTGGTTGGTGGGATTTTCACGTTAGGTTAATTTTATTTGACTCCTTGTAACTCGGTTGTATGCAGATGTTAATACTGATCAAGAAAAAATGGAAGGGACCAGTGGGCCCTGCTCTTCTAGAGGAATATGCTTAGCCTGAAATTAGAATAAAATAACCCTTGAAGTTGTGGGCACTTAATAAGTTGTTGTTAAAGAAGAATACTGACAAAATAAGTTTTGGGCTGGAAACAGCCTTCACAGGATCTTGAAATTAGCATAATCTCACTAATGAATGAACAGCCAGGTTCAATTTATAAACCCTTTTGATGACTTAATGTATAGAACAACCGTTGAATTGCTAAGGCCAAGCTTTCTAATTAGGACTGGGGTAAGTGTAGGGGGTGGGTGGAAGGCCACAATTTCAATTTAATAATAACCCCTTTCATTCTCATAGACAAATTAATCTATGGTCTAGCATAAAATTATTTTCTGAATTTCCAATACGCATATAAAAAGTACAACCCAGATTTTAATAAAGGCTTTTTGGTTTCTTCAGCTTTGAAATGATAACAGAAAATATTTGTGGCTGAAATTTTCTAATTTCAAAATGTTGAAATCAATGTGATTAACATCTCTAAAAGGAGAAGTATGCAAGGAAAACTTGATGACAATATTCAGTGTTGTCCAGCTTCTGGTAGTAGTACTTCCTTAATATTTCTGTAGAGAGCCGTGATACTAAGAGAAGTTTTATAACTGATCTGATACAGTAAAAATTAAGAATAAAACCATGCCTAACAAAAGCTTGCTGCGCAGAACACTCGTAGTCTGTGCTTCAGAAACCCTTTAAAATTTAGTCTAACCTCTGTGTGGACACAGGAAGTGGTCATAGACATACAAAAAGTTTTCTTTATTCACTTAAGTGAGTGTGCAATATCTCAGATAATTAGAGAAAAACAGTTTATGGAATGTTAAACAGCAAGTACTTTTGAAACACCCTCTGTACTACATGGTTGCTTCATTTGTCTGCAATATGTAAGTGTTGGGGTTTTTTTGGCTGAGAGAAAGAAGAGTTCTGCTTACAAGAGATAAAAATAGTTGAATCACATTCCTATCTATCACTATACCACATCTTCTGGTTTAATGAAATTAAAATCTAGCTTTAGCACTTCTTCAGGTCACTGCAATATCAATGTGACCTTGGATGTACTCAGTGTACTCAGTTCCTAGCAAATGTGTATATTTGCTACAAAAACAAAAAAGATCATTGTACCAATAAAAAAATAAAGTACCTGGTTAATTACTAAGAGTCCTGGAACTTGGGCTGCCCTCAGGAACTCTCTATAAATCTTATTTAGATAGTAGACAGCATAATTTTTCACACCTGAGAGTGAATACAGGACTAAGAGAGCTTCACCTTGGCAGGACGTGGGAAAATGCTTTCCTGGAAAAGAAGGATGCGTACAGGTTATGTTGGCTGGAAATGTCTTCTTGTAGAAGCTGCCAGGGCAAAAAAGCTTATTTTTGTTATTGTTACATTTCTGAAGAGGATTTGTAAGAAATACCTCCCTAGAACAAAAGGGAACTTAATTCAGTGAACTAGACTTCTTCTAGCTCCTATAGGGGACAGGTGGCTCATGTGCAGTATATCATGTCAGCAGCAGGAGAACAAGCATAATGAAGAAACTTGTCATCTCCAAGGGGATTAACCGGAGGAGCTTAATCTGAGAAACCTTTGATATCCAAATGAGATCTGCACTCCTTCCTCACTGCCTCTTGGAATCAGGTCCTTCCTGCACCTCTAGAGGGAGCGACACATCCAACGCAGGTTAACCCCTGGTGATGGGCAAACCACCATTTAACAAGTTCCAAACACTTGTTGCAGCTCTCCAAAAGGAGGGTCCCTCCCTTCAAAACATGCACCTCATGTGGGTGCAGACCTACATGTCTTTATGCCCACTTGTGAGTGCCCTGGAGCCATGGCACAGGATGGTCCAGGTTTTTGCAATGACATTTACATAGATGACTTTCATCCACCACTTATCAGCTGTGGCTGATTACCAGCCATGGAAGTTAACCATGAAGTAAATAGAGATGTGAATTTAAGAAGCGCCAGATAATTCATGATAGCCACCTGCCTGTGTGCTGCTGGCCTGATGAAACTGAGGGAGTTTATTCCACTTCCAGTGAGAAGTGAGCTGCTCACGTTTACCAAACTGCATTAGGGCACATACTGTGGAGTATTTAACGTCTTTGAAATCCACGACTTGTCTTATCTCATGGTAACTTGTTTGTTTAGATGTACTATAGGACACAATGATCCAGGAATGATAATGTCATTTTTAATAGACATTATCAGGGACTTTGGGTTTACACTTTCATTGCCAGTGAAGAAAACAACGGCCTTTTCAGGGTAGTTACAATGGAATATTATGGTTTTGTTATACTTGGCATTTTAATTTATAAATTGGTTGAATTTATTGACATTTGGCATTGTGTCTCTGAGCACTTTAAATATGCTATGTATATTAGATCTTTATAGTTTCATTATATGATATTTATGTTACCAAACTATTCATTATTTATTACTACCAAGCTCATCATTACCACCTGCTCATCTAATGACTGTTTATTTTGTGACAGAATAATTTTAAAAGAAGATGAAGTATCTCCTGTGCCTGTGTTTACTCTTTGCTCTTCTTTGTGCTGTAACCCATTGTCACCATGGAGACATTTGCCATGAAGTCCATAATACTGATCTGCGTGACGGAAGAGGAAATTTATTAACACATAACTGTGACAAGCAAGGCTCTAACTATGCAGATTTTGTATTCAGATTTTACAAGCAAGCTATCTCAAAAGACGCTGATAAAAATGTTTTCTTTTCTCCCATAAGCATCTCCACTGCTTTTGCTGTGCTGGCTGTTGGTGCTAAATCAACAACCCTGTCTCAGATTTTTGAAGGACTGGGCTTTGACAATCTGACTGACACTCACATACATGATATACATGAAAGTTTTCATAAAGTTTTAGCAGTACTGAACTGTACTGATGGTAACATCACATTAAATATAGGGAATGCTCTTTTTACAGCTACTGGATATGAACCACAGGAGACATTTTTACAAAATACTAAACAATTTTATGATGCAGATTTTTTTTCTATCAATCTCCATGAACAAGAAGACTCTAAGAACCAAATTAATAAATATGTAGAGGAGAAAACCAAGGGGAAAATCCCTGAATTAATTGGTCATCTTGATCCAAGCACTGTATTGGTTCTTGTTAACTACATTTATTTTAAAGGTAAGATGTACATGATTTTGATGCAAAACAAAAATTGTAGGGAACTCTTGATGATTTCTTAGCAGAGTGACTATTTAGCAAAGAGCTACACTGTGCAGGACCTCCAAAGTAAGGATTAGATCTGGCCAAAAGCAGGCTAGCTGATTGCTGAGAAATATTGATTGCTTGGTTTTGGCCCAGTTTGCCCAAAAGCTCAGGACAGAGAAGTCCCACTCCAGTGGACTGCCTCATTGATCTGAGGGCATAACGACTAAGGACGTTTTCAAGGTCTCTATGCTGTCTCTATGTGCCAGTCAAACTTAGCAGACTCTGACATCCTTGCACTTCCAGGGTCCTCAGAATTATCATAGAACTACTAGGTATGCTTTGTCAAAGCTTGGGACATAAGATTTTGTGAGCCTGTGCTTCTGAAGCCCTGCTTGAATGTTAGGATTCTTTATTCTGCTGTTGAATTTCTTGCCACGCTGAGTGCAATCAGCTTGCATCAGGTATCACCTAACAGGTCCCGTGGCTGAATGTTTGAGTGGTTGACTTAAATGACATAAAAGGCACAAGAGACAGGAACATATGGCCAAAATAGAAACAGGTCTTCATCAACATTTTGTTGGTTTTCAGCAAGACAGGACTTACCCTAACTATGCTGAACTTACTGCAGAACTAAAACAGTTTATTGTGTCTTATGCAGGAGGTTGAAGTGATTTACTGATCATCTACTCCCATAAATCACCCTTCAGCATCCTAAAATTTAAGCTGGTCTGATTTACATCAGCCAGTTTTTATGATCTTCATATGTTTGACTGCAACATCTTCTCTTTTCCCCCATTAGCTCCCTGGGAAACATCTTTCAATCCTTCGCACACCTATGAGGATGATTTTTTTGTGAACACAAATGTATCTGTTAGAGTCAACATGATGCAACGCGACAGTGGCTATGAGAGTTACTATGACCAGGATCTCTCTTGCAAGGTTGTAGAGCTGCCTTACCAGGGCACTGCACGAGCACTGCTAATTCTGCCTGATGACGGGAAGATGAAACAAGTGGAAGATGCTTTCTCCAAGGAAACTCTTTGTAAATGGAATAACAGGCTTGCAACCAGGTAACTCTAGGTAGATATATTACTTTACTTGAGGACACATCATCATTTTTAAGAGAAAGCATTGATTTCAGATCACCACCTCCTCCTGGGTATAATGTCCTGTTTTCATAAAGTGGGGTTTTAAGCAGTTCCCAAGATGAGTCAGAGCAGAGTGTATTCGATAACCAACTGCAGTCTCTCTGATCTGTCAGAAGGAGACACAGTATTGAAACAACTGCCTAAAGACTTGCTTGGCTGCCTTTTGGCTGTCATTCCTCTTCTTTTATGATACTAACATAATTCATTTTTTTCATTGTGTCTTAGATTTTCCCTCCTTTCCCCTTCTTTTAGCCTTTACACAGCTGGTCTGCTTACCCTCTGTAGGCCTCTAAGCCACAGAACTCTTGCTAGCTGTGTCTGTGGCACAGGGATGAAAGAGTGGCAATGGTTTCTTTTTTTCCAAAACCAAAGAGAGAGTACAGGTACAAGAAGATGTCACATCACTCTCTCTATGCTAAAATTGCTCAGGCTATACAAATGTTACTACCAAACAAATTAGCAACCAAAAGAATGCTTTCAAGTGTCACTGAATTGCACCTTGTCCAGGCTGCTGGCTGAAGCAAGGCTGAGATTCTTCACTGCTTGTTCGCTTTATTCGTTCAACAGGAGATTACATCTGCGTTTACCAAAGATTTCTATTAGTGAGTCCTACGATGTTAAAGACCTGTTCCAGGAACTGGGCATTACGGAAGTATTCTCTAGTGATGCTGATCTGTCTGGAATTACTGGCAGCCATAATCTTCAGGTTTCAGAGGTAAGTGAACAGGCAGAGGTGGTGATAGGGCAATGACTGGTTGGTCTGATCAATTATATCGGATTTTTTTTAAGATTTGCTTTCCTTCCTTGTCCTAGTGACCTTATATAAGTAAAACTCACAAGGACATGCAGCGGCTTGATCAGTAATTTTGCTTTTCTCTGCTGTCCCACCTTTGTATTATTTTAATATTGTTATTAAAAGGCTGGATATTAAGGACATGGAAAAGTTAGACAGGATTTTAAATGATTTTCCAGCACTGGAATATGACTGTTTACATGAGATTTTTGTCAAATAAATTATAAATGAGGAGCATATAATGATATTTATGTTGATTAGTAATTCATTCTGAATGTTCTAAAGTTTCCAGGAAAATTCCAGTAGAAATTCATCATGTCAGTTTAAGGTATGATTTTATGTGACAAAGATGCCAAATACTGCCCCTGTGTTAGCATTTAAATAGCAGTCTTCCATTAACCTTGGAATAACAAAATGCTGCAAGGGTAAGTCCAAACCATCTAAGAAAATAAACTAGATGGTGTGTTACTACCCCTCTCCACTCAGCGCTGGTGAGGCTGCATTTACTCTGTGTCTATTTGTATTTTTGGCCCTTCCCATTCAGTCTTGACAGGGAAAAGACCCATGTTGAAGGCTGTTGGAGATTTACCATGCAATAAAATTTGATCCACTGGATTTTGTCACTCCTTTCTTCTCTTAAATATCATTTAAGAAAAGTATTTATCTTCACCTCCTACCTCCTGTCCCATATATAAACCACTTCATTTGCTCCTTTTCTCTGCAGGCAATTCACAAAGCCCTACTGGAAGTTGATGAGGCTGGAGC